TCCTCGCTTATAATAGAAAAAAGCCAATATTCTGATCCAAACACCCTTGCTTACATGTCTTTACTTCTGACCACAAAACACTTGGAACCATCAGTTCATTCAAGGCACATAGTTTCTTCATATGGCCCCAAATAAGTCCTGTCCAGATCAAATGCATTGTTTTTTCTCTTGTTTCACCCCCATCCAGGGCATAATACATCTAAACAATGTTTTGTTTTCCAGCCATAAATAGCCTTGGATTTGGGGAGGAGGAGAGTCTATGCACAGAACAACTGAGGTTGAAAGGATCAAGTTCAGGTAAGGAAACTACACTGAGGAGTGAAGTTTTACCTTCTCTGTTGATGTTTGTAGGAGGGTAGTCATCTAGAGAGATTCCCACACATTTATTGTTATATCAGTATTCTAGGGCCAGGGGGTCAGACTTATCTTAGATAAAATATGGTGATTCTATTACTCAGTGGACTGATTGCATTTCTATAAGTATTCAAAAGTATAAATTTCAATTCTGTGCAAAGAGATATGACTTTGTTGCATTGACAGCAGGGAGCTTTCGAGGGTTTTGAAGATTTATTCATATCTGTACTTAAGGAAGATAACTTGAGAAACAGAATGAAGGGTAGATTCATAGAGACATGAGACTATAAGAGGCAGAAGGATTAGTTAAGGAACTTTTTGAGTTTTTAAGGTAGTTTGTAATGTACTGGGTTAGTGAGTATTGTAGTTGGGAAGAGTGGAAGGAAGTTAGACATTTGATGGTTTGAGGCAGGAAGAAACTTTAGAGATAAGTTTTAAATATAAGATACATAAAGATACATAAAAACAAATGAATTTTGTGTAAATGACAGAAATTTGAAAGTCAGAAGACAGAGCAGGTTTTGAGGAAAACGTTACAAGTTTAGTTTTGGACATGTTTAGCATGAGGTACCAGTGGATATCTTTTGGGAATTGATGTATGAGTGGAAGTTTGAGGTTTATATCTGAAACTCAGGACAGATACCAGGAGAAGAATTATTGAGTAGAGAATCATTTCTGTAGGGATCATACTGAAGGAAGTTATGAGACTGGGGAGATGGGTGGGAGATTACAGAGAGTGAGAGAAAAGAAAAGGCAGAGATAGGAAGGGAGAGAATGAAAGACAGTAGTGGAGGAGAAACAAATAGAGAAAGTAGAGAAAGACAGAGAGAGAAAGAAAGATAGAGAGATAGTATTAGAGAGAGAGAGAGAAAAAAAATAGAGAGAGAGAGAGAGAGAGAGAGAGAGAGAGAGAGAGGGAGGGAGCTAGCACCAACATTAAGAGGTTGGGATGAATATGAAGAAACAATAAAGGAGGCAATACTAAGAAAGGTAGAAGATAAATAAGGAAAGTGAAAAATGGATCTACAGAAGAAGAGGGTAATCAATAGTATTAAAAACTACACAGGTGCCCATGCCTTTGGATTGGTTGATAAAGTCATAATTGGTGAGTTTTGAGGGAATACTATCAATAGGGTGAGCAGAAATAACATAGCAACATGTTGAGGAGTGAATAGAGAATCAGAGACATTGTGTAGATTGCTTTTAAGAAATTTAATTGTGAAGAGATAGAGAAAGATTTATGGTGGCTGGAGAGGTGGGAAGGGCTTGGGGTAGGGTCTTTTGTTTTATTTTTGGATTTGGAGACATCTATGCATGTATAAGCTTGAAATAATGGGGAGGGAAAACTGCAGATGCATGCTAGTTGAGGGGATAATTGATAGAGCAATATAGGAAGGAATAATAATTTACTTTTATCATTTAAAATTTACAAAATACTATTTTCACACCAACCTTTTGAGCTATGTGAGGGAGATGGTCCTTGAAAGCCAAGGACCTAATCACTGATAGGAGGTCAGTAATTTGTTCTTAAACTAACTGTAAAAATAAGTCCTTGACAGATGATCCCTTTATAAGTTTCAAATAAGTTCATTAGCACAGTGCCCAGCACATAGTGAGAGGTTAATAAATGCTTATTGACTGGCTGAATTAGAAAGGGATCACATTAAAAGACAAATAATTATTCTGCTCAAAAGTAGGAGAAGGAACCATCTCATCAAGAAGATACACGTAACTGGAAAAGGGGAGACGGGGAGAAGCCACATGGGATTAGGAGAACAGAAGCATGGGCAGAAGCAGCTTCCACAAACATAAAGACTTTTTTTTTTTTATCAAGACTTGGGTGAGGAGTATTTGGAAAGAGGCTATGATACTGAAACTCCTTCCCCTTTTCTAGCTTCCCACCCACCCAAATCTCCAACTGTGGCCTGATTTCAGTGGAGTAATAATGAAGGTCATTTACTATGAATGAGGGGAAAAGTCAAAATTAGAGTTAAAAATGATATTTGAAGCCATCAGGATGGCTGAGAATGCTGAGAATGAAGAAGAATTGGGAAAAATCTCCAAGCTGATAACCCTTGAGATAGCATTTTAGTAAGGTGAACAGAATATATGTAGCAAAAGGCTGAGAAGTGAGTAGATCATGAAGAAGTAGAGGCATCACTTATATTTTTCAAGAAATGTGGCTTTGAATTTGGGGAGAGAAATGAGATGGTAGATGAATAGCTTAAAAAAGACAAAGGAATTTAATACAGACAAAAAGAACAGGGGAGATTGGAGAATGTGCATAAACACATGGAGAGGGAAAAAGTGAAGATTGAAGGAATAAATCCCTAAAACCGGTAAAAAGCTATAACAACAATTTACATTTATGTTGTACCCTTTTGGGTATTGTTGAGCAGATAGGGATACTAGAGATGGACACCTAGTGGTCAAAACAATTCCAGCCTTTATTTCATGGCTGACAGGATCTAGAATGTGATTGATAAGTTAGCCATTCTTATGCTAAGGGACCAGGGGTGGAGAGTTGTTAAAGAAGTAGGAAAGAATAAGTCAACTTGGAGAGCCAGCACATAGGGTCTAGGGAATAGTTGCTGTGACTAATAGCTTACGTACTTATGACTCAGAGAGAGGAAATGATGAGGAAGTAATCCCAGGTACTAGAAAAAAAATCGAAGATGACAATGATGATGATGATAATGACAATGATGATAATCATAATAATGACAATAACAATAAAACAGGGTGAAGGAGAAGAGGAGGAAGGGAGAGGGAAAAGGAAAGTGAAAGAAGGATTATAAGGGAATACAGGCTGGGAGAGAGACAGGTTTAGAATTGCAGTGTTTTTCAGGAGAGAAAATCTCTGGTTGTGGGCTTGAGCTGTAGATAGATAATTATTGATTCAGTTTTACAATTGTGCAGAGCAAAGAAAGAAACTTCAAATTTCATTGTTCTAGGCAAATGAATTAGTAGTTTTGGGAAGGGGAGGTTATAATTAGATGGCTGGCATTCAGAGGCAAGGTCATTGTTTCCGGTTGCTCAATTTGAAAAGAAAAGCACTCTTCTTGTCAGGAGGTGCTGAGTAAGTGACTAGAAAGGAATAGCCCCCCACACTAAAAATAACTGGAGAGAAGTAGAGGTAGTTCTTGCTTTACATAAATTCACATTATACAAATGCAACTTTCCCATAATGAATTCTGAAAGAAATCTGCATTCCTCCCAAATATTTTTGTTAACTTTACTGTATAGTACTAATCTCTCTCTCTCTCTCTCTCTCTCTTCTCTCTCTCTCTCTCTCTCTCTCTTTCTCTCAACCCTCAGCTTGGTGCTCCCTGGTCTCCCCCACAGCCCCCATCAAAAATCCTAAACACAAAGAATGAAACAAACAAAAGCCCTCTAATGAAAGCAGGACAGACATATAGGGGCCTCCACCACTGCAGCCTGATTAGGAGCGAAGCTTGAGACCTCCAATAGCAAGACAGCACACCTTTGCCCCACTCTACCCACCCACCCATGTGTGGATATGTCTTCTATCAGTCTGCACTTGAGTACCCTATGTCTGTCCCGAGCCCTGTATGTTACCCATTTTCTACTGTTTGTGTCTGGTCAACATGCTTCTGTCTCTGAGGGGTGTTACTCCTTTCAGTTCTGGCCATGATTACATGTGACTGGTCCCAGCCCCATGTTTCTTCTCTTGTTTTTGATTCTCTGTCCCTGTACCATATCTGTGCTGGCCCCCTTCCTCCAGAGGTCCCTGCCTCCACCCCTTCCTAACATGGGCAAATCTGAATTAAGTAAAACTGCTTTACATAGAGGTCAGCAGAAAGTTCCACTTATGTAAAAGAAAAACTATCTGCAGTCCCAGCTGTACAAAGTGGTGGCAAGGAGGAATGAATGATTAGCCTTCCTTACCTGCCCACTGCCACTCTTCAGCTTCTACTCAATTTATATAGAACTTTAAGGCTTATAAACTATTATCTTTATAACTCTATGAGCTAAATAGTACAAGTATCATTTCCCAAATTTTATACATGAGGAACTGAGGCACTGGGAGGTGCCAGGTGACTTGTCCAGCTATCTAGCTAGTGAGTTTCACAACTTTCCTAATTTTGAGTCCAATGCTCGATCCCTTATCCATATTGCTTCTCTTTAACTGCATCTTTGATGAAGTGAAAGAGATCACCGTTGTGGATGAAGAAGTTTATTTCATCCTCTAAAACAGGAGTAGTTACTGGTAAGCTACAAGGGAAATTTGAGGAGTTCTCATTGGATGCCCCTGATCTGAGTGAAGAGGCCAAATCATCTTTGGTGAATATGTAGAATATAGGCATGTTTAGACACCAGGATTTATGGAGAGAAAGGAAGAGTCATGTCTACTTCTCATTAGCTGAGAAACTATTCGAAGGTCACAACTTTCTGAGTCTCAATATCCTCAGTATCGAAAAACTGAGATGTTAATATATCAATATCCAGCCTGCTTCACACGCTTTACAATGAGAATGATGTGAAATAATGACTATAAAGTGATTTGTAACCATAATACACAATACACGTGACCCAGTAGTATCTATATGTTCTCCCAGTAGATCCACTGAGAGGAAAATAGAAATATAAAATGCTTTGTAGCCAAACTTTCCGTGTTCTTTCAGTGGACCCATAAATAAGGTGGAGAGCAGCAACCTCACTTCTGTGACTGAGTTCATCCTCCTTGGCCTCTCCAGCGAGCCTGAGCTCCAGGTGCACCTCTTCCTGCTCTTCCTTATGGTCTACCTGATGGTCTTACTGGGGAACATGCTCATTGTGTTGCTGATATTGAGGGATTCACGCCTCCGCACACCCATGTACTTCTTCCTCACTAATTTATCCTGTATAGAAGTCTGTTACACGTCCTGTGTGTTTCCACAGATGCTGGTACACTTCTTGGCAGAGAGAAAGTCCATCTCCTACTCCTGCTGTGTCATTCAGTTTTACACATCCCTGTCCTTTGGTATTGCAGAGTGCTATATCCTCTCAGTGATGGCCTATGACCGCTATGTTGCTATTCGAGACCCCTTAAGGTACTCAGTAACAATGAACTGGGGAATTTGTGGGATGCTTGCTGCTGTATCATGGTTGGGTGGCTTTATATTTTCTTCAGTAGATACAATTGCCACATTCCAGCTCTCATTCTGCCATAATAATGCCATCAATCATTTTTTGTGTGAAATGCCTGCCCTACTGCACCTCTCTTGTACTGACACAACCCATGCAGAGTTGGTAATGCATGTGCTCTGCATCTTTACCCTTTTGTTCCCTATCACATTTATCATCCTTTCCTATGTACACATCATCATTGCTGTTCTGAGAATTCACTCTGCCCAGGGTCGAAGAAAAGCTTTCTCTACTTGTTCTTCTCACCTTCTGGTTGTCACCCTATTTTTTGGGACTATAATGTCTCTTTACTTAAAGCCTAAGTCTCTGTCCTCTCCAGAATACAATAAGATTGTTTCTGTGTTTTATGAAGTTTTCACACCTGCTCTCAACCCTCTCATTTATAGCCTGAGGAATAAGGAGGTGAAAATGGCTCTGAGAAAACTTTTGGGAAAACCTGAAAGTGCTTGATTCTACTTATCTCATCTATGAATCTATTCGAGGAAAACTTGGCCCAAAAGGGTCTTCTTATTTTTCCACAAATTTCTTTTTAAAAACTAAAAAAAAATATTTTATTTTTTCCAATTACATTTAAAAACAGTTTTAACATTTATTTTTTTTAAATTTGAATTCCAAATTCTCTCCATCCTTTTTGCACTCCATGCCCCTTTGAGAAGGAAAACAATTTGTCATAGATTATACATGTGCAGTCATGCAAAACATATTTCTGTATCAGATGAATGTCAGGAAGTTGGGAATGGTGAACAAGTAAGGGCATTTCAGTCTACACACGTGTAAGTCAATCACAGAGATTAAGTAAAAGAAAACAGTCAAAAATACCAATTAAAATAAAATAAAAAAGTATGCTTCAATCTGCATTCATACTCCATCAATTCATTCTCTAGAGGTGGATAGCATTTTTCATCATAAGTCTTTCTGAATTGTCTTGGATCATTGTATTGCTAAGAATAGCTTCATTCACAATTGATCATTGTACAATATTTCTGTTATTGTGTATAATGTCCTCCTACTTCTGCTCATTTAACTTTTCATCAGTTCCTACAAGTCTTTCTATGTTTCTCTGATGACAACCTACCATAATTTCATACAGCACAATAGTATTCTATCACAATAATAAACCACACTTGTTCAGCAATTCCCCAATTGGTAGGCATCCCCTCAAATTCCAATTTTTGCCACCATAAAAAGAGCTGTTAAATACAGTTTTGTACATATAAGTCCTTTTCCTTTTTTTTTTTGATCTCTTTTGGTTACAGACATAGTAGTAGTAGTATTACAATGTCCAAGGGTATGCACAGTTTTATAGCCTTTTGAGCATAGTTCCGAAGTGTTTATAACTCCACCAACAGAACATTAGTGTCCCTGTTTCTCCAAATACCTTACAACATTTGTTTTTTTCCTTTTCTATCATATTATCCAATTTGATAGGTGCAAAGTGGTACCATAGAGTTGTTTCAATTTGCATTTTCCTAATCAGTAGTGATTTAAAACATTTTTCATATGACTAGAGATAACTTTAATTTTTTCTTCTGAAAATTGCCTATTCATATCCTTTGATTATTAACTGGGGCATGACATATTCTTATAGGTTTGGCTCAGTTTTCCATATATTTTAGAGATGAGGCTTTTAGCAGAGAAACTTACTGTAATTTCTCCTCCCTTCAGTTTTCTGCTTTCCATCTAATCTTGTCTGCATTGGATTTGTTTGTGCAAAATATTTTCAATTGAATGTAATCAAAATTACCCATTTTATTTCCATAATGCTATCTATCTCTTATTCTGTTATAAATTCCTACCTTATCCACAGATTTGACAGTAAGATGACATACTTCCTTAATTAGCTTATGATATCACACTTATGTCTAAATAATGTATCCATTTTGACCTTCATTTTATTATTTTTTTTTGACATACTACCAAGGAGATTATATGAGATGCTGGTCTATACCTACTGTCTGCCAATCTATGTTTCAGGTTTCCCAACAATTTTTGTTAGAAAGTGAATTCTTGTTCCAAAAGCTTTGATTTTAGGATTTATCAGATGCTAGATTACTATGGATATTTATTATCATGTATTGTATACCTAATCTATTTCACTGTGTTTGTTAATCAGTACCAGATTATTTTGATGATTGCTGCTGTGTAATAGAGCTTGAGATTTGGTACTTCTAGGCCACCTTCCTTCACATTTTAAAAAATTGATTTAAAAATTTACTCTTAATCTTTTTTCTTCCAAGCAAATTTTATTATTTTTCTACCTCAACAAAATAATTTTTGGTAGTTTAATTGGTATGATGCTGAATATATAAAGAAATTTAGGTAGAATTGTTATTTTTATTATATTGGCTTGGCCTACCCATGAGCAATTCAGATTTTTCTAATTGTTCAGATCTGTTGTTAAGTTGTTAAGAATTTCAACTAATTTTTCAATTGATTCTCTAGGATTCTTTCAGTATACCATCCTATCATCTAAAATGAATGATTCTTTTGTTTTCTCATTGCATATTCAAAATCAGTTTTTTTTTCTTTTCTTATTACTATAGCTAGTATTTCTAGTATAGTGTTTGGTAAGAGTGCTGATAATGGCTTTCTTGTTTCACTCTGGTCTTAATGTGAAGACTTCTAGCTTTCCCCCATTAGAGATAAGGCTTGCTGATAGTTTTAGATAGATAATACATACCATTTCAAGAAAATCTCCATTGAAATTTTTTGAAGAGGAATAAGTGTTGTGTTTTGTCAGAAGCTTTTTTCTGCATCTGTTGAAATAATCATATGATTTCTGTTGGTTTTGTTATCAACGTGGTAATTTATGCTGTTAATTTTCATAATATTGAACCAGCTGTGCATTCCTGTTACAAATCCCCCCTGGTTATAGTGTATGATCTTTGTGTTATATTGTTATAATCTCCTTGCTTGCATTTTATTTAAAATTTTTGCATCCATATACATTGGGGAAATTGGTCTTTAGTTTTTTCTGTTTTTTTTCTTCTTTTTTTCTCTCCCTGTTTTATGTATAAGTACTACTTTTATGTTGTAAAAAGAATTTGGTTGGACACCTTTGCTTATTTTTACAAATAGTTCACATGGTATTGAAATTAGTTGTTCTTTAAATGTTTGGTAGAGTCATTTATGAATCCATCTGTGTCAGAGCATTTTTTTCCTTGGGGAGATCATTGTTGGCTTGTTCAGTTTCTTTTTCTAAGACAGGATTATTTCCTTTTCTATAAATCTGGTCAGTTGATATTTTTGTGAATATTCTTCCATTTCACTTAGATTATCAGACTTATAGGCGTATAATTGGGCAAAATAGTTCCGAATAATTACTTTAATTTCCTCTTCAGTGGTAGTGAATCTGCTCTTTCCATTATTGATAATGGTAATTTTTCCTCTTTTTTAAAAATCAAATTAACTGATAGATAATCTATTTTATAGTTCCCCCTCCCCAGAAAGCCAGTCTTACTTTTATTTGTTACTTGAATTTTTTTTCAATGTTATTAATCTTCCCTTTATTTTTGGAATTTCTAATTTGGTGCTTAATTGGGCTTTAAAATTTGTTCTTTTTGTAGTTGTACTCCCAATTAATTGATCTACTCTTTCACTATTTTATTGATGTAAGTGTTTAGACATATAAAATTTGCCTTAAGTATTGCTTTGGCTGCATCCCATAAATTTTGATATGTTGCCTCATTATTGTCTCTCTTTAGTGAAATTATTGATTATTTCTATATTTTGCTCTTTTATCCATTCATACTTTAGGATTAGATTATTTAATTTCCAATTAAATTTATAATCTATGCTTCCACAGTCCTTTATTAAATGTACTTTTTATTGGATTATGATCTGAAAAAGCTGCATTTCATATTTCTGCTTGTTTGCATTTGGTTGTGAGGTTTTTATGCCTTAACCCATGGTCAGTTTTTGTGTAGGTGCTATGTGGCAGTGAGAAAAAGGTATATCCCTTCTTATTTCCATTCAGTTTTTTGAAGAGCTGTATCATATCTAAATTTTCTAAAATTCTATTCATCTCCTTAACTTTTCTCTTTTTTCTGTTAGATTTATCTAGTTCTGAGAGGGCAAAGTTGAGGTTCCCCCACTAGTATAATTTTACTATTTTCTCCTAGCTGCCCCATATGATTGCTGACCCTCCTATTTTTTTTATCTCAGCTGAATCATGATAGATTTTGCTCCAATTGCTTACTTTTACTCTGTAAGTATCGCTTTGCATTAAGAGTGTTTCTTGTAAGCAAGATATTGGAGAATTCTATTTTTAATTCACTCTGTTATCTCTACTTTTTTATGGGTGAGTTCATCCCATTCACTTTCACAGTTGTGATTACTAACTGTATTTCCCTCCATCCCATCCCCCCCATTATACTCCTCTTTCTCTTTTAGCCTGTTCCACCTCAAAAGACTGTGGTTTCATACACTGGCCTCCCAATCTTCTCTCCCTTCTATCATCTACCCCTCTCTTATTCTCCATTTCTCTTACTTCCTTGTAGGACAAGACAGATTTTTATATATAATTGAGTGTGTCTGTTATTCCCTCTTTGAGCTAGTTATGTTGAGAATAAAGTACAAGTGTTACCACTACCACCATCTTTTTGTCAGTGAAAAGCTCTTCCTGTAGTGCCTCTTTTACGTGAGGTGATTTACCCCATTCTCCTTCTCCTTTCCCCTTTTTCCTGGTGCATCCCTCTTTCTCAAACCTTCATTTTATTATTTTCTTGACATACTACCAAGGAGATTATAGCAATATCACAAAGATTATACACTGTGACCAGATGGGACTTATAACAGGAATACAGGGTTGGTTCAATATTAGGAAAACTATCAACAGAATCAATATCCATAACAAACCCAATAGAAATCATGATTTTCTTAATAGATGCAGAAAAAGCTTTTTACAATATACAGCATGCATTCCTATTAAACATACTAGAAAATGTAGGAATAAAGGGAGCATTTCTTAAAATAAGCAGTATCTATCTATAACCATCAGTAAGTATTATCTGTAATGGGGATAAGCTAGAAGCCTTCCAAATAAAATTGGGGGTAAAGCAACAACGCTCATTATTACTACTGTTATTCAATATAGTACTAGAAGTGTTAAGCTATTGCAATAAGAGAAGAAAAATAAATAGAAGGAATTATAATAGGCAATGAGGAAACAAAGCCATCACTCTTTGAAGATGATATGATGGTATGCTTAGAGAACCCTAGAAAATCAACTAAAGAACTTTTTGCAATAATTAACAACTTTAGAAAAGTTGCAGGCTATAAAATAAACCCACATAAATCATCAGCATTTCTTTATATGACCAAGAAAGCACAGCATCTAGATAGAAAGAGAGATTCCATTTAAAATAACTGTAAAAAACAGAACATACTTGGGCGTCTCCCTGCCTACACAAACCCGGAAACCATGAAAATAATTACAAAACACATTTCAT